AAGAAAGAAAGAAAGAAAGAAAGAAAGAAAGAAAGAAAGAAAGAAAGAAAAAGAAAGAAAGAAACCAATGAACCACTCTCCCTGCTGAGTGACTTTTCTGGACTAGTTTGTTTCCATGAGCAGACATCTTCAATGGATGGAGTATAATATGCCTGTAGGCTGTAGGAAGGACACTCACATTGACCATGTGCTAGGCACTTTTCTGGGCGATTAACATGTTATATTATCTTGTTTAATTTTCCAAACAACTCTTGGTAGGTACTATTACCTCCATATTATAGATAAGGAAACTGCATCACAGCCATTTGGTAGTTTGCCCCGAAGTCCCATGGCTAATGGATGATGGAGCCAAGTTTCAACCTGTTCTATTACTCTGCTCAAAGAACATGGAGCTAAGAAAAAGGAGCCCTGGGTTTTTGGTCCCGCTCTGCTACTAATAACAACCATGACTCTAAAAACCTAACAAAACACCTTCTGAACTCAATATCTGATTCTGTAAAACAAGAATGTTGTGCCAGAATTTTTTATGGTCTGACTGAGCTTTGAAACTTTATGGTTCTATTGAGAAAGACCACCTTTCATCTCTCTTTACTGCCTGTTCATTTCTTCCTACCATTTTCTATCTTCTGTCACATACTGACGACTGCTTCTCAGAGGTGTTTTCATCTCTGAAATTCCTGTGGGATCTCTAACACCACCTGTGGTCCTGAATCATCCCATTAGGAAGCTTCACATTCCAGCCATAGTGCATTATATAAAATATGTCACAATATTAACTTCCAGTTGTAACCCCAGATCCTCAATGTTAAACAACCTAAAACCAACTCTCTTCATAATTAAAGATGCTATCTTTCCTAGTGTGGTATCCTCATCCCCTCACAAAGCTTCAGAACACACTTATCAATCATCCTTTCAGAGTAAATAATGCTCCTAGTACCTGTAAAGGTTAATATCTGCAAATGATTTGCTATTGTTGATGGCAAATACACAGAGGAAGCCTTCGCCTGTCCTCATGTATTGGTCTCTCATGGCACTGTACTCTTCTTGACCAGCTGTATCCAGTATGTCCAACAGACAGGTTTCACCATCTATAACCACCTGTTTTCGGTAAGAATCCTGGGGTGCGAAGGGTGGGAGACGGCAGGGAGAGAGGAAGATTTCATTTTTATTAGAAACCACAGGGTACGCGATGCTATTGCCAAAGTTAGATAAGCTCCTTCCTAAGTTTATTTCCATCTCTCTGTCCCTCAAACTCCTAATATATAATCACAAACAGAACGTACTTAATGTCACCCTAAGAAAAAAGCCTACAGAAAGGAAAATGTGGTCACTCTGTTCTTGGAAAAGATAAAAAAAGTTTGGTAATTCAAAAGACAGCTATACAGCAGTTAGACTAGAGATTAGCATTCAAGGTGTTATTTTACCAAGGTATAAACTGGAATTTTCTTGTTTATTGTACATTTAAATTCTAAACATACTTCCACCAGTTATACCAGGCCTTGGACACAGTATCATTTGTGTTTATAACTAAACACACAAATACTTTTCATTTCAGACAAAATTATAACACCAAAATATTTTTCTCATCATAGTGGATTTTTACCTTTGGAAAATATTCTGGAATCAAATTCCTAAAGGTTCCAAACAAGGTGCAGTAAAACCCTGGATTGCAAGTAACTTGTTCTGTGAGTGTTCTGCAAGACGAGCAAACATTTATACTAAATTTTAACTTTATTAACTAGCAACATCTTGCAATATGTGATGCCGAATGTCACACGATCACAACTTGGTTAATGGTTCTTGAAATTCGTTTTGATACACAAGTGCTTTGGATCACAAGCATGTTTCTGGAACGAATTAACCTCGCAAACCAAGGTTTTACTGTATATAGTTATAATTCCTTAGAAAGACAGACATGCATAGAATATATACATGGTTTCAATTTGTCTCTAAGGCAAAAATTTTACTTGTATTTTGATACTTACATTTTGGGAATTCAGTTCAAAGAAAACAACCCATCACACCTGGTAAAGATCTAGCTCCAGAAACAAATGCGAGCTGGTTTCCCAGTTCATTGATCAGTGCCTCTCAACTTCATTGTGGGACTATAATATACTTTCAAATTAACATAGACTTCACATTGCCAAAACTTGCCTGAAGTATGAAATATGGTTAAGTGTACGAGTGTTCGAGGAAATGAGCAAAATTAAAATTATAAGGTAGGTTTGAGTCAAACTAACTTAGGTTAATAGAAGTCAGAGAGAAGTGGTTATTTCCTGGCAGTGTGGGGGTTTACTGACTGGAAAGGGACATGGGAGAACTCTCTGGAGTATTGGAAACGGTCTATATTTCTGAGTGGTGATTATGGAAGTACTTAAAATAGAAATTTTAAGTCACTAGGCTGTAGATATACTTGTGAATTTTACTGTATGTATGTTACCCTTCAATAACTAAAACTCAGCAAAATATTAAAAGGTTCTAACTATTAACACTAAAGCTGTTTAGCTTAAATAAAATTTTGCCGAGGACTTACTAATTTTTAATAATGGCTATGTTAGCTTCCATTAAACACTCACCAACTGGTGGGGGGAGGGTAGGAAGACCAGGATGTGGATTAAAATAAAAAATCTCTAGTCAGACATTTCTAAATTGAATAAAATTACACAACCTTTTTTAAAGGACCTTAGATGCCATTTATTCAAGCCAATCTAGAACGTGGACTCACAAAAAATTTAAACATACTGATTTTTCTCAACATCCCTGTGTGTGATAGGCAGGACATGTTTATAATAATTTAATAGACGAAGACAATGAGGCTCAGAGAGTTTAAGTGTTTTGTTCAATATAACATAACTAAATAAACTGCCAACAGGGACTGAAAAAAATCTAGGTAGTGACTCAAAATCTCATGTTCTTTCTTACTCCAGCCCAGTCTCAGCTGCTTCAACTTTTAATGAAAATTGCAGACTATCTAGATCTCTGAATCCTTTATCTCCATCCTATTACTCAGTCACTCTTCCCACCGCTGGTTTCTTTTTAATAGAGCTGTCATATAGGAGTTCAACGAGTATGCAACAGTTTATTAAACTGCTAAATTGTCAAGTTTTTAGAAAAAGTCTAACAGCTAATAAAAATGAACACTTCTCCACAAACATGGAAAGCTTTACTGTATTGCTGAACGCAGTACCCAAAATAACTTTTACTTCTGTCTCCTGATTATTCCTTTAGCTAAACAGCAAGCTAAAGGATATGGGTAAGGGTGAGCCAAAAGCCAGAGGTAGGGTCAGCACACTGCCACTGGGCCTCACCTCTATGGTGGGATCATATTCATCTACAAAGTGGTTCTGGATTAGCTGGATTGTCAGTGCGCTTTTCCCAACACCACCTGCTCCAACCACCACCAGTTTGTACTCAGTCATTTCACACCAGCGAGAACCTGTGGGAAAGCAGCAATCAGGGTTAACTGGCGAGTCACATCCACAGTACTTCAAAGCTTTCTATAATCAATAGTAAGTTAAAGCCCGAGTTTGAAATATGTGGGTTCCATACACGTGACCCTCCACTTGGTTCTCAGTGATTTCAGGAGTGCAAAAGCACTGGCAGGTTACTGCGGGCCTCAGAATTCTGGCTAGTCTCCTAGCTACTACCCCCACCCTTCGGTATTTTTCAACAGCCCTTGGGCCCCGCCCTCAGCCTAAGGTAAAGGAAACCCCTCTTCCTACTCCTCCCCCAAGTCTTCTCCGCTCTGGTGGGGCAGCCTCCTGGCCATCCCCTCGTCTTACTCCCCCGCCGGTCTTCAAAGATCTCCCCCGTAACGCTCAAAACGAAGGACCCCCGCCCAAGGGCCTTTGTCTCCAGCCTGCAGATTCCGTTCGATTCCTGGCAACAACGAGTTGCTTCTTTGCGCCAAAGACGAACGCTAAACACAACAGAGCCTTACCTCAAACTTCGCTGCCTCCGCTTCCAACTGATTTAGAACAACTGGGAAAAAGGCTGGAGACCCCGGAACCGCCATGAACAGCCCCCACTAGGGAGCGGCACTTCCGGCCCCGCCCGCTACGTAATCAGTCGGCGCCCGGGGCGTCGGAGTCCCCGCCCCAGCCACGTGGGCCCCCGACCCAGGAGTCACGCGGCGGGCCGCACCCAGACCCGCCCCTCCCACACAGGACGTTTCAAAAATGAAAGCGCTAGGTGCTAGAGTCTCAAAAATCAGTAAAACTTTATTCGCTTCCATTCTTTCGCCATTAACAGAAAACTGGAGAAAGCAAAAATGTTTTGTGTTTACAAAGATAAACGGCCTCTTTACCCAGAGAAGATCAAAACCTCAAACGACAACGGGGAAGATAAAAGCGCCCTCCCCCACATCCCCTGAGCTGCCCTTGTCCTCTTAGACAAAGCCTTCAGTCCACTGGCCAGGGACCCTGGATGTGGCCAATTCAAGATGAGGGCCAAGAAATCAGACCAATCCATTCCCGTGATATAAAGTCGAACAGAAGCTACACCAAGGGTCAAGTGCCTGTATTTCACAGGACACAGGAACCAGGCGGCTACTTATAAAAAAAACAAGATTCATTTCAGGCACAACTTTTTTTATTTTTTTGTTTTGTTTTGTTTTTAAATCAGTAAAAGAAACTGGGTCCTAGAAGCTGCAGTGATCTAAGCAGCAGCAAGTTTGTGCATTCGTTTTTTTTTTGTTTGTTTTTGTTTAAATACGATTAAATTACCACACTGCTGGCACACCTCATTTGCATGAAATTCTGCACCATACATACTAATTGCAGTAAAGTTACCCCCCTCCCTAATCCCAGGAAAAAAAAAAAAAAAAAAAAAAAAAAAAAAAAAAACTACTCTGGAAGATAATTTTCACTGAAATCTAACCAAACTTTGTTAAGTGGACTGTGACAAGATTATAAATGATATGAAAAATAACATTTTAACATTTGGCCATCAACTTAAGGAAATGGTTTGCCTATACAAATTTTTATAATTTTTGTAATTTTTAATATATTCTACCCTCATATGGTCCTCAGAATTAAAGCATAATGAACAGGAAAGAAAAGGAAAAGAATGCAGCTGAGTGCTAAGGCAGAACATCTTGCCAGATAGTAATGAAGGTAGAGTATATGCTAAATACCAAGTGCAGAATTTCATAGGGCCAACAAGATAACAGTCTATATTTTTCACTTACACAGGCGAAGTGGATTTTGCAATTACCAGTTGCGTTAAATGCACCAAATAAAGCTCCTAAGATTGATACTATAAGGCGCCACCTTAAGTTTTCCAGGCTGCAACTGTGCATAATTTTAAAATGGTTTCTTAATTTATTTTTTTTTAAACATAACACGAGGAAGGTGTTAAAACTGGTGTAATAGCTCAATAGAATAAGTATTCCAGATTTTGGGAGGGATGAAGAGGAGGATATTCAGAACCCTTCACCAGAATCCCCCCAACTTGATCATAGTGGATTAATGATGTGCTTTGTGGATGTGGTTAGTCAATGACACCAGCTTGACGAATCTTTCTTTCTGCACCAAATCCCTGTGAAGAAGTAAAATTACAGTTAATCACTACAAAAGCAGTACTTCTTTTTAATCATCGTAACCACCACCACTTCTTTCCCAGAGGAGGAAATCCCTAATAAGCCCTCCTGATCTATTATCTATTATGTTCAAAGGATCAGGAAGACCAGAAAATGTGCTGCTTACTGTGAGGAATCATTATTGTTAGGGGCTGAACCAATGTATATGCAGTTTTAACTAGTTATAAGCATATTGAAACACTGAAAAAGAAAACTGAAGTTCCCTGTGCCATTAAGCTCCGAGCTATGCTGAAATAGGAACTTGATAGGCATATTGTTTGTCAGCTGCCCCTACTCCCACCTCCCAAACCTTGTAATGCCCTCATACCATTGAGTTATCTGGTCCCCTTGGCTGACGAAGAACCATTAGGCGAGGAGCACTGGCATCATCCAGGGTGATGTTCTTCAAGCGATTGACCAACCTATCAGGTCGTGGAGCTGCAACAGCCTTGGGGCCCTCGCTGTAATGAAGTTAAGAGGTGAGAAGCAGCAACTCTTGGTGGGAAGAAAGCAAGTACTTGCAGAGGAGTATGTTTTCTATCTAACTACCCAAATGACTCAGTTTTAATGAGGAGACTCTTGCCTCATCTAGCCACCTAGCTATAGCTAGCAAGACAGGACAGACAAGTTTGTTTGTTTTTATTCCTAACTCAAGGTTTATCACTGTGGAGGAACGGAAGAATCACTTGGGTGAGGGTCATCCCTGGACTGGTCTGCACCTAGAAAAACCTGTTCCACAGACACACAAAACGAGGTAATAAGATGTGAAAAACCTTAGACAAGTTAAATATGAAGTATTTCAAGAGACTCCCAGCTCCTCTCATGACAATATTACAGATTAAAAAAATTTTTTTAAAGCACAGAGAAAGCACTGCTAAACTATAAAATTAGAATTTTAAGTAGCATATAAATAACTTAATGGAAGAAAAAGCTAAGCAGAATCCTTGAAGAATAAGGACTACATAATCTTATTATAAGTTCTATTACATAGAATGTACCCAATTAATGTTTCATTAGGCCAGATTTGTAAGACTAAAATTTAGAAAATGAAGGCCAGAGGTAAAAAAGACACAGTAGGGGTGTCTCAGTTGGTTAAGTGTCCGACTTCAGGTCAGGTCATGATCTCATGGTTGGAGTTCGAGCTCTGTATCGGGCTCTCTGCTGTCAGTGCATGGAGATCCTCAATCTCCCTCTATGCCCCTCCCCCACTTGTACTCTTTCAAAAAAAAAAAAAAATCAAACCTATTAAAAAAAAAAACAAACTATACACACACACACACACACACACACACACACACACACACACACAGAGGAAAGATCAAGAAATAGCCAGAAAGTAGCAGGATAAAAAGAGGAGCGATGAAAAGTGAACAAGTGTGATTAAACCAGAGTTTATGAAAGTTTAAAGACAGTCCAGGGAATTTACCAATCCAACAACAACAAACTCACCAGACTCGCCAAACATTACAAGCACTGCACTTGCCAGTGCGCTGATTAAGAATCACTGAGAATTCCACCTCATCTCCAGCCTGTAGCTCAATGCCATCTTGAACTTCTTTCACATGGAAGAAGAGCTTCTTGCTATCTCCTACTTCATAGTTAATGAAGCCAAACTGAGGGGGGGTGGGGGGAGGGAAAAATTAAAAAAGACAGTAACTAAAAACAGGACATACTACAGAGGGGAAAAGTACCTCACTGTGAATGAAGCACAATACCTAACTAGAAGGGGATTTATTAAACATGGTATTAATGCTGATACTCCAGTTTAACTGCTCATGCTATAATGTAACAGCATATGGGTCTGAAAAACTTGTCAGGAAATGTATCTTTGAAATCACTGCCATTCAATCTATCATAGCCTGTCTGAAACAAAGGTTGCCTGTGTCTTCATATAGTATATGAAGTTTTTGAATTAAGCAAAATCACACTGAGATTTCAATATGAGGAATAGTTTTGTTTGCCCTAAACTTATCTTATGAACACCTTTACATATGCTTTCGTTGTGTGGTCTGCAAAAGAAGTCCCGAGCTCAAGCATACAAAATCCTAGTCTTTCTATTCTGAAAAATCTCATTCCGAACTTATTTCCCCTGTCATGTAATGTTATCAATAGCACTCTTAACTTTCTTTTTGCTCATATCACCATTTTTTTCCTTTTCATCATGTCATTTTCTTCATATTTTTACAAGCTACCTCAAATCAATGAAAAAAGGAGAAATGAGTACTGATGGTTCTCCCTTGGCTGAAAAAATTTCAAGGTTTTGGTTACCACTTGTGTACCAACTCATAAAAGGATCAAATTCAGATCCAGAGATACTACCACTTACCTGATCTTTCACACACTCCACTGTGGCCCTACGCAGGGGTGTGATGTTATAGGCCATAGTCTGTGCATTTTGGCCCAGAACACACAACTGGAACTTGACACTTTCCCCTTTCTGCAGGCAATCTCCTTTGTTGGCCATCCCAACTATGCCAAATGGATAGACTTCACCTTTCATATCCCCTGTAATGAGAGACAGGTATAAAGTCTGAAAACTAATAGTTTAGAATGATCCTATGCTGATGGTCATAAGTTTACAGATAAGTTGCTAAGAATGTATTCTTACCTAAGAAAAATGTTTTAATACCTGAGAACTCCTACCTTAAAGCTTCAATGAAATATTACCAAGAAAACAAATGAGAACTTGTAGTAGTACTTTACTAGCTAATGAACAGTTTTAAACCATCCTTACGAAATTAAAAGGAACACTGGCACTCAACCTCATTACCTAAATATGTGGGCATTTTAAGCAGAATGGGTTGCTAGCATGATCCTCTGAATTATCTTCTTCCCCAGTTCACAGTATGAGCCAACCAGTCAAAAATATTTCTGACCCATACTCAACTGGGCATTAAACAAGCCAGGCACAGGCAAAAACAATGTGGATAAATTTCCTTGGCATTCTAATCTCTTTTCTTTGTTCTGATTATGGCTCCCTCAAACCAACAGGCACTTTCTCCTAGTTCAGAGCTCAGCATACTTTCTGAAAAGACAGTAAATATTTTAGACTTATAAATCATCCTATTTCTGTCACATCTACTCAACTTTGCTGTTGTAGTGGGAAAGCAACCAAACACAAGATGTAAACTACGGCCATAGCTGTTTTAAGAAAACTTTACTTACAGAAACAAACCACCCTATTTGCTGAGCTCTGCCCTAGACTAAAATATTGGCTGGAGAGGAATGCAGGCTAGGAATAAGAACTGTGCCGAAGGTTCAGTTGCTTATCATATCAGTTCATCTGAACGGGAAGCCACTGAATCAACAAAGGTGAAGAGGAGAAAAAAACATGAGGTGGAAGTGGAAGCTTCAGAACTGGAAATGCTTTTAACAATTCTTTTATAGATTATAAGGTGTAAGGGAAGGTTTTCCTTTCAAACATACAGGAGCCACAAACTTTTGAGGATACACTTCCAACAAAGTCATACACAAGCATTCTCTAGAGACAGCTGGTCTGATTCAGTTTTATTAAAGCAGTCATTTATTAAACATTTACAGATTCATATTTAATCATTCTAGAATCTTCTCAAAGAAATTACCCTCATTTTAAAGATGAAGAAACTAAGCTAGGAGAGATTTAAGTAATTTGTCCAAAGTTATACAGGTAGAAGTGGAAGAGGTGGTGTTCAGATCTAGGCCTTGCCCTACTTCAAAGTGTTCCTGAATGAAAGAGCTGTTCTCACTATCAAGTGGGAAAATGTAACCTGTCTAGTCTCAAAACCCTCTAAGGTCTATTAGAGTTCAGAAAAGTTTCCTTTCCCACAAAATCACTGCTTGACTATATCCTAGAGCCAGAGTTGAAGAGTAAGTGGATTGGGGGTTGGGAACACAAAAAGAAGTCAAAGTGAAATGTTACAGAGGAAGTACTGCAAAGGTGAGTAAGTTGCCCAGTCCCCACGGCCCTTTTAGGAGTATGGTGTAATCATGTCATTCATTTAAAATACTGATTTGCAAAAGACCAGATTTGTACCGAATGATTTTTAAAAAATAGTGTGTTTAACCACCAGGGTCAGCTATAAGATGAGAAAGCAGAACAAAGGAAGTTTATTTTAAAATTAATTTGAGGGGCGCCTGGGTGGCGCAGTCGGTTAAGCATCCGACTTCAGCCAGGTCACGATCTCGCGGTCCGTGAGTTCGAGCCCCACGTCAGGCTCTGGGCTGATGGCTCAGAGCCTGGAGCCTGTTTCCGATTCTGTGTCTCCCTCTCTCTCTGCCCCTCCCCCGTTCATGCTCTGTCTCTCTCTGTCCCCAAAATAAATAAAAACATTGAAAAAAAAAATTAAAAAAAAAAAGTAAAATTAATTTGAATTAGATCTGAATCAACTAAAGGAGTGATTTATTGAAATGAAAGACTGATTTGCTATAAAATCTATTCCTATCTGGAGGTGTGTGTGTTGGGGAGAACTGGATGTACTCCGATTCTATGTAAAGCGGAAACTCCTAAGGGCCTCATACAAGGAGCATGTATGTTATCAAGGTTCATTTCTTTCTCTCAAATGACCTGTTCTCAAATGACTTTATGCCCTCTGACTCCTAGATAACACAAGATTTATTCTCTTAAGTCAAGCTATCATCTTTGGTTGGAAATTCAAACCCTCTTCTCATCAACCCCATCATTATGGTAATTTAGCTCTACTAATCATCAGTGGTCCTTACGATCATTCCTATTGCAAACTTATTTTATGAACAAAGTTGTCTTTTGGTACTAATTGTTGGGATGACACCAGAAATCAGGGAGTTACTGAAGATGGGGAGAAAAAAGCAGTAAATGAAAAACATAGAGAGCCATGGCCCAGAAACAAGTTGTTAGGATCCACATGGAACCCTAGCTATTAAGAAATAAATATAGGACATTTACAGAAAGCAAAATATTTATAGAAGTGAATTGGCTACTAGGAAAATTTGTTAATACTGATGTAAATAATTACAGACTACAAGAAAACTGTAAAGTTGTACTAAATGCAGCCAACTGTAAATATCTGATTATCATCCAACATTAGATGAGTACTTTTAGTGTGAGATTTTGTTCTATTTCAGTATAACTCAGTTGCTCACATAACAGTCATTTGTTCACAACATAAACCCAGGATGATGATCATAAAAACCAAGGGTTGGGGGGTGGGGGAGGATAGGAAGAGGCACTTTTCCTTAATTTCAGTTTCTAAGGAGTCTGAAAGCGACTGCGACCAACACCACCACATTTTAAAATGTTCCAAGTGCTCATGTAAAGGTAAAACAAATTTTAAACAATCTGATAGGGCTGCTCTTACCTTCCTCCACAATCTCAATCATTCCTTGGTACTCAGTCTGTGTTGGATCAACACTCCTCAAGGGGCGAATGACTTTACCAGAGTAGATGGTGGGATCAGCTTCCTCAGTAATGCCATTCACTACAAAGCAAAAGCATGTATACTTCTTATTCAACAATTGTAACTCCATTCCACGGGAAAAAAGCAAAAATCATCAGAACAAATGTTAACAGAGGGTTGCTGGCTGGTCTGCTACTCTTGAACTATTGCTAAATTATCATGAAAATAATGTTAATTTGGGGGTGCCAGGGTGGCTCAGAAGGTTCAGCATTGGGCTTCAGCTCAGGTCATGAGCTCATCAAGGTTCATGGGACCGAGCCCTACATCGGGCTCTGTGCTGACAGCTCAGAGCCTGGAGCCTGCTTCAGATTCTTTGTCTCCCTGTCTCTCTCTGGCCCTCCCCTGCTCGCTCTCTCGTTCTCTCTCTCTAATCTCTAAAATGCAACCCCAACACTTATACACTTCCCTTTATTTTAAGCTCAATATGTTAGTAATATATATTACTATCTTTCTTTCTAAGCACAAAATTTTACTCATCTTGCTTGCCTATAAATACAAACTAAAAAATAAACTCAACAAAGGCAGGTTTCTTGCCTTTGATTTCTTCACTGCTGTATCCCCAGTACTTAAAGCACAGCATGTGCTTAGATATTTATTGAAATGAAATGAACGTTCTTGGCTGTCATTTCTCTAGGTCTCACCATGAGGAAGTATTATTTGAGGAGTTGAGATCAAAGTCAAAAGTTGCGGGTTTTTTTTTTTTTTTTAAGTTAGAGATCCTAAACAGCAACCATTTTAAGTTCCCATTATTTTTCTCATTCTTCTCCAAAACAGCGTCCTCGAAGAATGCCTCTTTCCCCATTCCCATGGATATTTACATCTTAGGGTTATTTTTTAAGAAAGAGGTACTGAATTGAAAATAAAGTGAATGATCTAAACTATCTATGTAGTGGTTCTCAAACTTTAGCGTACGTCAGAATCACCTAAAGGATTTGTTAAAACAGAATGCCCATCCTAAGTTTAGTAGCTCTGGGGTGGGGTCAAAGAACTTGTATTTCTTCTAAGTGGCCAGGTGATGCTACTGTATCTGGGTATCACACCTGGGGGACCACTAATCTTGGGTTTTTGCTTCCTCTCCCATGCTGTCTCTCATCTCCCACCAAAAGCCTAGACTAAATAAGTAGAAACCACAATTCATTACCTGAGTGTGTTTTGTTCACTTTTTCTGCACTGACTTTGTTGCCTTTGCCTTTGGACAAGCTATACTCGACCATGTCCCCCAGTTCCAAGCTATCGACATCACCAGAGAACTCACTGGGAAGAAAGGAAACATTTGAATAAGCAATCACCACAAACATCAACGGTAGCAAATAAATTTACTTCTTCTGTAACAACATTCATGGTGTGCTTACTTATGCTGGATACTGTTTGAAGCACATTATAGGCAGTGACTCATTTAATCCTCAGAAACACCCAATGAAAAGGCACCATTATCTCCAGCTTCAAGACAATGAAACTAAAATACTAGGAGGTTAATTAGGTGGCAGAGCCAGGATTCAAACCTGAACCATCTAAGAGCCCATGCCCTTAACTGACACATATTAAATGTACAACTCTCTGGTAGCAACATAGAAGACAGTATTCTTTTACTGAAGCAGAAAGTTCTTGCCCAATGTTCAAAGCAGGTACAGGCCTTTATCTTCCGGCCACATGTTCCCTATACACATGATTAACTTTTGTTTATATAGTGCCATAATTTTACCAATATGAAATTTGGAATTACAAAATATATAACCACCCGATACTAAATGTTTTCGAACAAAACCAAACAATGGATAGTAAGCTCTAAGTTCCTAAAAGGCATTCCTCACCTGTAATGGAAAAAGATTTCCTTATCATGATTAGCTGTTTCAATAAATCCAAAATTATCCTTCAGAGTTGCCACATAACCCAAGAGCCTCTTGGAGTTGGAATTACGACCTAAAAGTCGAACACAAGTTGCAATCTGCTGTCCAGGCCTCTGTTTGTCACTAATACTAAATTCAACCTGTGAAAAATAAGGACACTCATATTTAATATCATGTCTTTCCCACACCAAGCTCCTTACCTTAGGACCTACAACTTCCCACTCCAAATATCCTTTGTGTTAAATACTCTGATGGAAGAGATTTTCACCAAAACTAATACTTTTAGGTCTCATTCACACTTTTCATAAGGGGATCAAGTTTTGTTCTCCAGTGTGTATTCCTTATAGATTGTCAATTTCTCTAAAGCAGGGCTATCAGAAAACCAGACATAGTGAGGAGAAAAATGCACAGCCATATAAAATCTTGGGTATGATTTTACTTTGATAATGTTTCAGCAACTGGTTTAGCTTATAATATTATAAGTTAATTGACTTAGGCAGATCTTCTCTAGTGCTTACGGACTCCTCAGAAAGCTTTTAACAAAGGGTGTCTTAGACCCTATTCTGAATAAGCTGCTTGTAAATGGGAAGACGTTCTTATATTAAACTTGTAAACACACAATTTTTTTTTAGCAAAACTTGGTAAGATTAAAAAAAAACCCCAAAGACATTTTGCAGGACTTATGATGAAGATGACAACCTTTAACTCTCCTCTCAAATAAGCAGAATTATCTTGCCTTATCTCCTATTTGAGGAGAAGTAGATCCTTCCACATCCTTGGCTTGAAAAGCAATAGTCAATTTCACCCCACAATCATCATAGGCAATAACACCATCCTCAGCCTCCTACAAAACAGGATACAATGAAAAGAATCAAGAACAAAAAGGCAATAAGCAGTTACAGTTTTTAGACCCTGGAGCTAAAGAATTGGCACAGCTGTACAAATGTCCTATTCTGGGGTTCCCTAACAGTAACCAATTTTTCATATGAATAAAAGATAGTCTTACCTTAAACCCAGGACTGATTCAACATACTGTAATTGGGTCTTTTAGTTCCGAGAATCTAATTTTTATTATTGAGGAGGGAAAGCTTACTGAAAATTTATAACACACCCATTCTATACTTCTCATAGCCAGCCAAAAATTAAACTGAGCATGTATTTTTTAAAATTTTTTAAAGGTTATTTATTTTTGACAGAGACACAGTGCGAGCATGAACTGGGGAGGGGGAGAGAGAGAGAGAGAGAGAGACACAGAATCCGAAGCAGGCTCCAGGCTCCAAGCTGTCAGCACAGAGCCTGACGTGCAGCTCGAACTCACAAACCGTGCTATCATGACCTGGGCCGAAGTCAGACGCTTAACCGACTGAGCCACCCAGAAGCCCCTAGCATGTATTTTTAATAAACAGAAATTCTATAGGGCAAGAAGCTTTTTGTATCACCTATTTTGAATCTCCCATAGTACCTTACAGTGTTTTGTATGAGAGCGTATTTACCAATGCACGAAAATTTAATTCGGTAGAGGATCTAGCACAGTTCAGAGCATTTGATATTCAACGCTTACAGAATTTAAAACATTGTTGATTACCAGAAAGATTCACTCGTCAAAAGTCTAAGAAATTTCTGGTATACCATACAGAATCATACTGTAAATGACACTGTTCAACTACCTCACAAATTACACCACTTTTATGGTTTCAACTATACAAAACCAATTAATTTCTAGTCTTCTACCATTCATATTCCTTACTGTAATACACTGTTATAAATAAGCGTGATGACAGAAGGACTTACTAGGGTCTAGTGTTGATCTAAGAAGAACAGAACAATAAAAGGGCAGGAAAAGTCTCATTCAAAGGCTGTCTTGATCAACTCAGTTTTGTCAAAGCCATTTGGGAAGCAGGGCATTCTAAGAGCTTTTTAAAAACCATTAAAAACAAGCCCCACTGATTTTCTTTTATTTTTATTATTGTTAAATGCAGCATTTGTGAAATTCCTACTATGGGCCTGGCCTTGTGAGGGCTTTTTCACCGTAACAGGAGACTATGATTTTTTCAGTTTAAAAACTGAAGCTCAGAAGTGATTTCCTAAGCTACAAAATAAATAGTAAGCAAGATGTTGTTCCAGTTCTCTCAGGATCCTAAGTAGCCATTTTAAAAATTACATTACCTTCCAATATCTCCCACACGTACCTGCTGCTCTTGTCTAGATCCATGATATCTGCTCCCAGTTCAAGGTCTACCTAAACTCATTTCGTATCAGGCCTCTTCATCTTTTGTCTTTCTCCACCCCCATCTAGGGTTCATACTATGCCATTTCTTCCTGAAGTGCGTATCTGATGTCACTTTCCACAAATCTTCTCTGAGTACAGAACAAAGTCTAAATTCGCTAGAGTAGCAATTGAACCTTCTCCATCTAGCTGTATCCTGATTTTTCATCTTATTTCCCCTATTCTACCCACCAAAGAAAAACCCTATCTTCCTGTTTAACTACTCAGTGCTTTCTAAAGAAATCCTGAATTTTTCTCATTTGTACCTCTATTCTGTGAGGAATGTTCTTTCTTCATGTATACCCACCTATTAAGTGTCAGTGCCTTAGTGATACCATCCCAGATCCTGCCACATTAGAATTTATTTTCGCCACAGTGCTCTCACTGATCTTTTATGGCAATATTTTATATTTTGTATGAATTACCTGCTTCTGTACAACCCTCAATTTATTATTTACTTGAGAGCAAAAGCCATGTTAGACATCATTCTATCTTTATTCTGTGGACTATTCAAAATGGAGTTCAAATGTGTAAATGGAGTCCACACAAATTTGGAAGTTTTAAACTGCTTGGGAAGATCAGTACTATCATTTTAGATGAGCAGTTCTCATTGGGGATTAGGGGATGTCTTGCAGGATATGGCAACAGTTTCGGATGTCACACAGAGGGAGAAGAGAGATACTGACCTCCAGTGGGTAAAGGTCAGGGATGCTGCTTAACATCCCACAATCCATAGAACAGCCCCCCACCCCCCAAGTCATAATGTGGAGATTAAAAACCTTCTTTTAGATCAGTTCACTTTTAATGTTACAGAGAATTCCAAAAGAGACAATACTTCATTCCATTACTGTGTGGACAGTGGTTTCCTTGAAAGAGAGGAATAAAGAGCTACACAAATCATTTTGATCATGTAAAACTTACCTTTTCTTTGCCTTTATTTGGGCTAGTGGTTTTAGGATTAGAGAAAGTGGCTTCTTTTTCTACAGTGCCCAGAAAACGATGATCTGAATGGGAATGGAACGAAACCGTGCCCTTGGGAAGCTTTTTAATCCTAATAGCATGATTTCTTTGGGCAGAGAGCATATCCTACAAATGATAAACAAAAGTAACTTTAAACTGAAAAAGGAAGCATCAAGAAACCATCCCATTCTTTCTCAAAAAGTACTCACAGGAACCACAGTAAACTCTACTTCATCCGCAATATGGAGCTGATTCCCATCCAGAATTTCACTGAAGTGGAAGAACATACGAGCGTCACGATCCACACACTTGATGAAACCAAATCCATCTCTCATGGCAGCAATTACACCCTGAAATCCAGATAATATTTTCACTGGCTGCGAAGCTTGCCAAGAAAACAATACTCAATTTTGGAGGCATCAAGTTAAACTCATTAGGAATTCTCTGAATTAATGACTCAAAATCTGTACCCACTTTTTAATTTTTCTATTTAAATACAAACTCATTGCTTTCAGTAAATTAACTTCTAAGCCACTGTCTGAGATGCTACCCCCCGGTCAGCATGCATAGAAAAAACTATCACATTTGAGTGTTAACACATGCACACAATATACTCCTTTTCATTCTCAAATTTGTGAACTTGGTATTATTACCCTGTATTGCAAGATGAGGAAATCGAGGCTGAAGTTAAGCAGTTTGTTCAAAGCACACAGCTAATAAGTGGTAGAAAACAAAGATTCTAAATCTATGGATCCTAAGGCCCAAGCTTTATGACAACATCTAGAAATTTTAAAAATCTACACAAATACTTCAAATACTTCCAAAGTCGACTAAAGGGAACTTTTTTTTTAGTCTCAATCTCAAAAATTTTTATGTGAGTTTAGGTGCAGGAAAGGCTTAAGATTAAGGTCTGAAGAATAAACAAAATATACGAAATCCTTTCCTCATTTTTCCCCCTTACTAAATTATCAGCTTTGTAAGGGCAATTACATCCAGAGTTAGCTGGCACATGGCAGGTACTCAGAAGTTTACTGAAACAATTATTATCAACCTACCAATGACTTACATGTTGCATATTTATTTGTATTATTACTGACGACTATTCTATAACCAGTTTTGAATATAGCATAAATAATATCCTGACATTTAATCTTTGGCTAAATCTTGATGGCAGCCAAGCTACTCGACAATGTAGTCTATACTGTCAAGCAAAATAGACCCTACCTGAGAAGCTTTTTGTTTAAAACACACACACACACACACACACACACACACACACACACACACACACCCCATTCATTTGGTTCTCAAAATTTATAAAGTTAAAAGCACATTGCAAGTATCAAACAAGATCAGTTCTCCAAAGATAAAGGTTCTAAGTCCCAAGAAACTTAAATTTTCATTGAATGTACCCAGTTCCATTGACCGCACGGAGATATACCACTCATGTTACGATCCCAACAGAACTATAAATTACATCTGAGGCAGTTAATTTATGAAAACAGAGCTTATAAAACATGTTTGGGAAACATTTCTGGTGCAGGTCACTCCTGGACATATACCCACTGAAAAGAATTTGCAAATTCCTGCCGTAAAAGCCAAAAATCCAAAACCTACTTAACCTTATCAAGTGTTTACTAAACATGGAACAGTTTGGGAAGATCTGTTTTCTACAACGATAGACTTGAATTTTCTCAGTCTTCATATTTAAGGTCCACAAAGTAACAGACTCTCAAAAGATCTTAGAATTCCTCCTGTACACATTTCCATTCTGAAACTTTTTCACATCTGTTTCAAGATAACTGGCAGAGTCAGTTACCAAACCCAGACTGACTGAAATATCTGGTTCTTAGTCACTTCACAAGGAAGCTTCCCCATGTCATCATTAACTTAAATGCTTTTCAGTATAGCATTACAAATTTGAATATAATATTAGGCCCCCATACTGAATACAAATATCTAATAATATCCAACACTCACCATCTCTCTGGCTTCATTAGTGAACTGAAACGTATTTGATAGAACTTCTATGTTGGTTGCTCGTTCTAATTTGTCACGTCGGTCTGTTGAAATATTAAACCTAACATGGTCGCCTTCCAGCAGGGTCACCTTGGATTTTGTATCTTTGTCTCCAAAGGGAAGCTCTTTAGGAATCACAAAATCAACTTTGATGCGTCCTGGCAATGGGTCATTCTGATGAGAAGGAAAAACTATTTTAGCTGGAGATTTCTCATCCTTCCTAGTTCTAAGTCAAACAAGAAGAACACACAGCAAACCCATGTTATTTATAATAAACAGTTCCCTACAGGGAAAAAAAATGTTGACAACATAAGCCCAATTTGCAAACTTTGTGTTCTGTGGTCACATGATAAAATCACAACACTGCAGTTAAGATCCTGCACTCTGACAGAGATATTTTATTTAAGGAAAAGAATTTGTCTTTTAGGTTTCACATTTCTTTAGCAATGACGCCAGCAGTCTCCTCTCCTCACCTTACCTCCCACATAAAAGAAACAAACTGGTGGAGGAGGAGGGGGAGGAGGTGGGAGAGAACCCCAATAAATGCATACCTAAAATGGTTTTTCCCAATTTAACCAGCATTTCTTTTTTCCCTTTCTCCTGATCACCCAGTACAAAACAAAACAAAACCTATTCATGGACATATCAATCACTGGTCCCTCGTTTAGCTTAATTATATATATCAAGAAATATTTGGGGTGCCTGGGTGGCTCAGTCAGTTAAGCGTGTCACTTCAGCTCAGGTCATGATCTCACAGCTCATGAGGTTCATTTGAGCCTGTGTGGGAGGCTTCTGTGCTGACATCTCAGAGCCTGGAGCCTGCTTTGGATTCTGTGTCCTTCTCTCTGCACCCCGCTCATGCTCTTTCTCTCTCAAACGATCATGTTAAAAAAAAAAATAAATAAAAAGAGAAATATTTAATTGTTCCACCACCATCAAATTATATTAATTGAATAAAATTTCTGTATATCAAACTGTTCTACTGATGAGACAATAGAAAACTCTTCTGAAAAAGACTATTTACCTGGTTTTTACTGGGTACTTTTGGGATTACTTTGGTTACAGTTCCTTCAAAATGTTCAATGCTGATATCTTCAAAAATGACTGTTCCTTGAGGCAATAGTCTGACATCTGTTGCAACTTCTTTACCCTAAATCAGAAGGGAGGAGGAGATCATATAATTTTAAGTGTTTCCTAAAAATGTAATTCACTACTGACCTTAAAAGAAGGCGGAAGATCAAGTTAGTCAACTATCTTACATTTCTGTCCTTGATTGTGAATTCCACGTCATCTCCAGGCTGTAAGGTTTCTAAGTCACCCTTAAATTCACTATAGTGAAAGAATATCTCTTTTACGATATCACCTCTTTCAATAAAGCCAAACGCCTCCTAAAGACAAACAAGCAAAACCCAAAAAAATAATAGGAACATTAGGTACTATTCAGTGTACATATTTATGATTACAATTTACAGTCAATAAGCCTTGTTGTAAAATTATACTGCCCTGGAAACAATATATTTGGCTAGGTCTAATATTAACAGTATCAATTACATGGCCCATTGTAAAGAAAATATGAATTAGTAACCAAGAAATTTTAAAAGATTACTTTTGACATTACCAGTGAAATATTTTTAAAAGGAAGACAAAGAAAAGAAAGAACCAAAGGCTTGGGTTTGAAGTATGGACTGAAAGTAGTCAAAGAACAAAAACCTCAAATTTTTCACATTTGATGACACTTACCTTCATGGCACAAACTACTCCCTGACAGCGGGCTTGCTTCTTTTTCAACAGCATAATGTTACGAGCACTTACAGCACCAGTACTAGAAAGGAATAATTGGGTGGGGGTGGGGGGATCAAAAAGGGGTAAAAAAAAAAAAAATGCATTGGCTTGGTTAGATATGAGGAATCTAGAGAAACAATTAGTTTTCTGAGAGCTCAATTTTATGTCAACACAAAGAGCAAATATAAAGTTTTTGACACATGATCCTTTTCACATGGCTTCATATGCAAAGGATTTTTTGCTCAAATTCTCTAGCCTTCTAAATTGGGCACACACATATATATCATTTTTCTCTTAGAATCTTAAAAGAGTATCACAGATACCCTATGCTTTTCTATTACAACAAAAGAAAGTCATAAACTGAATGCAACCAAATAGGGTAATCTAAAGTCTTAGGAAGGTCATTTATTGGGTAAACATTTGAGTATCTTGTGCCGCAAACTAAAGGTACCGGGGATATAGAGATGGATACGGACTGGTGGTCCCTGTTTGCAACGAGTGCTGAATTTACTAGCTATCCCATCAATGATTTCTGATTAAACAGCCATAAAAGAAGGTTGAATAAATGTGATTAAAGGAGAAATTTCCTATGCTTTAAAAACAAAAACAAACAAACAAGACATTCACCTTCACTGAAACCCATTAGACCCTACATGTTGTTATCCTGTCCTCATCTTTGAGCAGGAAAATGTAAATCTGATTTCATTTTAAAGATGGTGCAGGCTATTGGTGTAGTTGTTTTAACAAAAGGTAAAGACTAAGTAAATTCTTCACGGACAAACTGTCACCCAATTGGGGTTTTTATTTCAAAAATTTAACAGACTAATGAAGACAGTGGAAAATATACTATTTGTCTTTGCAACTTACTACAGTGAAAGACTTTAGAGCCAGACTGGGGTTCAAAGACCTGCTATTTACAGGCTGTATGACTTTAGGCAAGTCACTTTATGAGAACATACTCTGTGTTACAGATGAAGACACTGATCAGGTGAAGCTGTTCTCAGAAGTAACAATTATATA